AGAACTCACAAGTTTTAGGTAACCTTCAAAAGAAAAGTATGGAAAGAAAGTTTTATACTTTTTTCCTTGAAACAATGTTTAAAAGTTTACAACTTTATCTTATATATATTTTCTTATATTTGATGAATATGACCTATTCATCATATAGTTACAGTTTATGAAGGAATTTCTACCTAGTGTTGCAAATTTGTCCCATAGTAAAGATGATATGGAGCAAATGATATTATATTATAAAATATTTATATTTGAGAGGATTTTTTAATTGAAAATCCTGGTTACAAATACCTTCATTTTAAGTATGTAGCAATTACGCATGCTAAATAGATTTAAATATATACATTTTTAAAAACAATGCTATAAGAAGTATTCTATTGATGAAAAGGCAAGGAATCCAAATAAAGAACTATATAGAATTTTATTAAAAAAAACTATAGAATTTTAAATCTCTCATGCTGATAGAAACTTAACAAATAGGCAGGTATCTCTTTTCTAATATATTCTAAGAAATTATGGTTAGTCCTTCATAAAATTATTCAGGGAGGGTTTACTTATAAAGCTTCTGTCCTCAAAAGCAAGTTTCTAAAACTAAGTGTATTCACTTTCAAAAATAGAGCAATATAAAAGCTAAATTACATTGTGCTCACTACCCACAAACATACACATTTTTAAAGATAAGTCTATACAAAGATTAATGTTTACTTCAAGGGAATATATTTATACTGGTAAAACCATCAGCTTTACGACACCTGGGGTAAGGAGCAATTTTTGTAATGAAGCTGGCATTCATTACATTTTGCTTTGTAAATGACATCTGCCTGTAAATACAGGCTAGCTTATAGATGGCCACTGTATAAAATTTTTCTTTTCAGAAATATCGTACAAAAAGGGTATTTTTACATAAGATTAAAAAGTTTATGAACCAATTTTAACTGAAAGATAATAACCTATAAATGAAAAATTCTACAATTCTCAGAAAGAGTATATGATGCCTTTCCACTATGGAAGAAGATTCCAGAAATTAAAATACAGCTAAACTTGACAGGAATTGGAGGTGACAACAGGATTAAAAGCTGATTACTGGGAAGAAAGCTCTCCCAAATATGAGTGGAGTAATGAGCAGGCAGTACTAATCATAAAAGTCCTTTCCTTTGAAACTGGTAAGCTCTGGGTACACCTAGAAATAAAAATGCTTCATCTAGGGGCGAAAGCATATCAAAATACATGTAAAATGTAGATCTCTGACCTGACCCACTTTTACTTTACTATGTTATCCAATAATAAAATGGTTCTACTCCACTTGTTCATGGGGCATGTTTATATTGCATAGAAGCCATTTATGGGATTATTTGGAAGACTTAGGGATACAAAGAGGAATAGAACATTGCTAACAACTTGGGAGAGATCAGGGATGGGCAATTTTTCAGGAAACAGATTAGGGAGGAAACACACTCAAAATAATCACAACACCTAGATAATCAAGACTGCTAAGGAAGGAATGGACTAAACATAAAAAATAAAAAATAAGAAATAATTTAAGCCTTATTGTAGGGATAAGATTTAGACTTTCCTTTAAGAGGAAACAAAAATTCAACCATGTACTAAAATGGGAGACTATGTTCTAAGAAGAAATAGCATTCAAAGAGATACTGTGGCAGAAGCTGAAGAAGGATTAAAAACAACGGGATCACTGATACATCTCAGGGGTTATGTTAAATTGCTTATGTTTTAATGTGTAAGGGATGAAGGCCTGTGGAATATTTTTGTAAATAATGAATGGTGAAGTAATACAACCAAATGTACAATTTATAAAAATCAATTGCTGGCAGTGAGGAAGACTTGAGAAAGTGAGAGGCAGGTAAACTAGTTTATTTATTATTATACTAGTACAGATAAGGAATGATGAGAGCCCAGATAAATGCAATTAATAAATAGGAAATGGGATGGAGGAAATGGGAGAAAAGCAGTTACAAAACCTGGTGGCAAAGTAACTGAGAGAGGTAAGAAAGAGTGAGGGTAAAAGACTGTTGAAATTGAACTCAATACAGGAGAATGCAGAGTTTTATTTTTAGGGAACTCCTTTCAAAACAAAAACAGACAACACACAGAAGCCTTTTCTATAAGGCTTGTCTAACTTTCTACAAAAGTTAGACAGCCATTATAGAAAAGAATGCAACTGAACTAGTCTTCCTATTTTGAAGACTATGATCATACCAATAATTTATAATTTGGTTATAATAAGAAGCTGGAACAAAACTGGCATATTACATGCCCTTTCTTCAATTTATTACTCATATGAGCCCTACATGTGATGTTAGTATTAATTACCATTGGCATGTTTAAACTGAGAAACTCCTGTTACCAGTTGAGTAAGTAATTTGCTCCAGACTTCAAGGGTAATGCATAAGGAAAAATGGATCCAAACATATAGGTCTGTCTGAAAGTCAGCTACTGAAAAGAATAAAACACATTTAGTCCCAAAAGAAAGAGCTTCTTTAAGACTGAGAGAGAACAATGTGGATGAGTTGACAGAAGGAGTTTTCTCAAGTTTAAAAAAAAATTACATTCATTGACTCATTTAGTTTTTACATTTGAGTTAGGAATATTATTATTCACATCATATCGTTTACACCTGCACAGCTTTAAAATGAGATGTCCTAATTCATGCCCTATACATTATTAATCTAGCGTCTGAGTTTTTAAACCATTATGCTATTAGCTATATTAGAACCTTTTCAGTTGCGATGCTATTTTTGTTTTATAATCAAAATGTGCTGAGAATGAAATACTATATTTAATATTTGGGAAATTAGAAGTCATCTTAAGAAAAACTTCAGTGTATGAAATAGGAGTTAATGAGAAGTTCCTCAAGAAATCTGTTTGTAAAGGGAAAAGGGGGTAAAAGTTGAACTTTAAAAAAAGTGTTCTGATTTTTAACTATTACCTGGAATACCTACATATTTACTAGTGACCTTTAAATTATTTGCCAAAATTTTTACCCACAGATAACATGGAGCAAACTAATAGCATCTAATAAAGTCTTTTTTTGCTAGTTTCCTAAAAAGTTATCATCTTAAAGCTAGCAAAATGATTTGATGTTTACCTTCACTGCAATGATTATATGCTGTCCAACTGAGAGTAACTAAAAGAGAAATGCAGGGAACTGAATATAAAAAGGAAAACTTGATAATGTTTTGTAGGGGTCTTCTTACTGGAAAGCAAAAGAAAATATTTAACATTAAAGTTGAAATTTAATATTTAACTCTTGTAAGTGACTTAATTGTTACATGTAAACAGTTCACAGATTGGTGACATTCCATTTAAAAGTTCTGATCTGTCTGTGGGTAAATAAAAAATGAGCAATATGGTGAGTTTGTTAAAGGCAAAACATGTTCAGTTAAAATATTTGAGGGACCAGAGAAATAGTATGACAGGTAGGGCATTTATTTGCCTTGCAGGTGGACAACCTGAGTTCAATCCCTGGTATCCCATATGGTCCCCTGAACACCACCACAAGTAATTCCTGAGTGCAGAGCCAGGAGTAATCCCTGAGCATTGCTGGCTATGCCCTGCCCCCCCACCCCCAAATGAGATGTTACTTTTATATTTTGTGTGCAAGGTAATTTCTTTTATAAAATAGAAATCCTAAGCGATAAGGTTAAAATTGAAAAAGGTTGACAGTATTTTCAAAAATTTTTATAAACTGTCTTGATCTTTGGAAAACATAATCAAGGAGGATTTGCTCATGATAGAAACTAAAGGCTAAGAGGCAAAGAAAATAGGGAAATTTGTTTTAATTAATAGACTTCTAGGCAAATTAAACTAAATCAGATAATGACTGTGAACAGTTACTAATTTGCAACCTATAATAAAATGAGATCTATGTATACACGTTAATGTTCTTCAACTACCAATGTACAACTGAGAATATTTGAAAAAAGTCTATCACTGATTATAATACAAATCTTTAACATACAAGAAATATAATGCTTATTATAAATCACAAGATTCAAGATATAATGGTAATAAAAATTAACTTTTACAATTGTAAACTGCTTTAAAATGAACTTGGTAATATTTTATACCTAAATTATTAACCAACATATAGTTTTAGGGGTATTAGAGAAAATAGCAGAGATGATTTAGTTTTGAATGAAATGTATTGAGAACTAAGAAAACTTTAACTTTATTTCATACTGTGAAACTGATAAAAATTGTTACAAAAAAAGAAGTATCTTAGGAATTAAAAGCAATAATATATATATAAATTACATCATACTACTATTAATAAGGAGGTCATCAGTTAAGTACACATTTTATATTAAAGGTACCTTAGAAAACTCTGCTAAAATATTCAAGTCCCATGAAATCAAAACTGACTCCTTGATAAAAGTCATTTTTAACTTTTTATGAACTGTTCTAAGACTGACTGATTATGCAGCTTTATTCGAATTTTAATAAAAATTCAAAGATCATGAAAAATAAACAAACGTAATTATGCACTGTTAAAAAGCTAGCCTGAAAACCAGAAACACAACATGCAAAAATCAATTTCACTGTGCTGGATTCTAAGTTCTAGAAATCTCAGTATGCAAGATCACAGATGATCTCAACTCAAGCAGGATTACTGAGTAGCTAAATGAGTAAAATCAGTAACTTCATGACTGCATCTTCCCCCTGTGAATAATTTTACCTATTTCCTATGAAATGACCTTAAGTGTACTTCCTACTTGAACTGATGGTGATTGATGATTAATTGAAAAAGGTCTGTCTTAAATAATAATCATGATTCACAAGAAAATGGTATTTGACTCCCAATATGGATATGATAAGCAATCAAAAAAGTTGATTTGGCTCAACCTAATTTTGCTTTAAACTCTCAAGGGCATGACAGTATAACATGATGTTATTTAATTAGATAACATTGTTATTTAATTGCCAAAAATGTTTTCAGTTTTGCGTTGTTCCACGCTTCTGAAATAATGCAAGATTATTTTACTTACTGCTGAACTTTGTCATTGGCTGCTTGCGAGGCCTCTAAAGCACGCTGAAGCTCTGATTCCATGTTTGCTCGATCTGTTAGAGCTTGCTGCAGTTGAGTGGCCAGTTCCTCATTTTGTTGCTGAGTAATAGAAACAATGTTCTCTCTATTTTTTAAAGCTTCTTCGTAGGTGCTGAGAGTATGGTTAAACTGATCCTTTAGATTTTCTTCTTGTGATAAAGATTTGTGTAAGCTGAGAAAAATGGAAAAATAAACAATATAAATACAGACTAACTGGCTGAAAAGGTGTTAAAATTTTCTAATTAGAAGTAGCCATTTCTAAAAATAAAAGTACATGGGTAGAAAAATAAATTTTATATCACAACAATAGACTTGGCAATTACCTGATTCGAGACTAAAAGCTACCCAGACAAATGATTATCTATGCAACCAAAGCATTCTAAAAGACATTGCAAGGATGTTAATTTAATTATATCAGTGTAAATATTACATTCAATTTTCTTTAAAATAAATAATGGAGAACTGAAAAATAAATTGTCTCTAGGTAAATAAAAGAATATAATAAGCTGTTTGCAAAGAAGTGAGAAGTAAGAGAATGGGTATCAGTTTAGGAGATCCACTGTCTATTTAGCTGACTACCTAATGAGAATGAATAAGGTTCCTACAAATACTGAACAGTTTTATATGCAGCATTTTCTGTGTCAGAGTTGAGATCCAAATGAAGTTAAAAATCACTATTCTGACTGCACAAAAATAATATGTACTCAGATATATTTTCTTTTTGTTAATGAATCTCATGCCAATACATCTACTCATTAAGTCATATAGAGTAATAGCATATAAATTAAGACTAAATGAATGCAGAAGACGACGCAGACAAATAGAATCCTAAAATGCTAAAGGTCAAATCTTTGATATATCATTACACCTACCACCTGAGGTTATTTTGAAATGGCACCAGCCACCTCATTCAATTAAATAAAGACATTTTGAAAATATAAATATTTAATAAGGGAAATTTAAAATCTACAAAGGAGATGTTCTTTTATTATTAAATAAAATCATTTCAGTATGTGCATACTAAAGAAATGTCGATGGGAAACTTGAAGTAAAGCAAACTAAATATATAATATAGATTGATAATGGGATGAAAGTAATAGAATTATTTTATTATTATTACTAGTTTTGGGGCCTCACCTGGCTATGCTGAGTTTATTCCTGGCTCTCTGCTCAGGGATCATTCCTGGTGAGCCTCAGGGACCATACAGGGTGCTGAGGATTAAGCCCTAGTCATTTGCATGCAGGGCAAGTGCCCTACCCACTGTACTAAGAAAGTAATATAACTCTTACAGCTGTGAAAAAATAGTCCAGGAATTTTAACATTGACCTAACACCTAATTTGATACTTAAATAAACTATTCAAAATAATTACAAATTTCTTTTTTTTTGTGTAAGTAACAAATCATCCTCTCTGGTTATGTTCACCTTAGAGGCACCACACACACACACACACACACACACACACACACACACACATACACAGACACGTATATACACAGACATACACACATACATGTCATCAATGAAAGAATAAACAACAGGATCAATATATACTAGAAGATTTCTGACAAGATTCAATACTAATTTATGATTTAAAGTCAAAAAATTGTGAAAAAAAGAAATACACACCAGTACATAATGGTGTTATGTATGATGAACCAATAGCTAACATTTCACTTAACATTTTACACCTGGTCATTTTTTAACAGCTATCGTGTGTGTGTGCTTGGCCAATGCTAAACTGAAAGCTTTCTCCCTCAGGTCTAGAACCAGATGAGACTATTCACTCTATAAAAATTTTAAAACAGTAATTATTTGAAGCACCATGATTTATACTGCTTTAATATAAACAACGAATTAGAGAATTCATTACCTGGGAGTAAGCCTAAGAAGGTTTAGCTCACTAAAGGTCATAACATTGAAAAATTTAAATTAGTTATTACTATAATAAGTAGAGGAAAAAGAAATGGACTTTTATGCTCATGAATTGGAAACATATTATTAAAACAGCCATGTTAACCTAAAGCAATGTATAGATTCAACACAATATCTAAATACCACTGACATTTCTTTTTCTTTTTTTCTCTCCCCTCTCTTCCTATGGGCGACACCCAGCAGTGTTCTGGGCTTACTCATGGCTCTGCATGCAGAGATCATTCTTGGCAGGGCTTGGAGAATAATATGTGTTACAGGATCAAACCTGGGTAGACTGAGTGCAAGGGAAATACCTTATTTGTTGAACTATCTCTTTGGCCATCAATAGCATTTTTCAGGGAAAAAGAACAATTATAAATTTTGTATGGAATTCAAAAGACTTTGAATAGCCATAGCAATTCTGAGAGAAAAGTAAAACAAAAGCACCACGGCCGCCGACTTCTAACTGTATAATAGAACAATTAAAGCTGCATGATATTGGAATAGGAACAGCACGCAGATCAAGAGAATAGAATAGAAAGTCCGAAAGTGAATACACACATAAATGGATGCTTAATTTACAACAAAGGAGCTGAGGCTATCAACGGAGAAACTAAAGCCTCTTTAACAAATAGTGCTGGAAAACTGGAGAGTTATATTACCTACAGAAAATGCAGAGAAGAAACGAAGGTGATAAAATATAAGATCTCAACATCAGTGATATATTTGGAGACTCTAACACTGTTTCAAGGGGAACTAAACTAGGAATAAACAAATGGAACTTCAATGAATCAAAAAGATTTTATACAAATGAAAGAAATTATCACAAAATGTAACCTAGTGAAATGGAAAATATATTGGCCTATTAAACATCAAACAAGGTTAATAACCAAAATATATGAAGAACTCATAAAATTTAATCACAAAATAAGCAACACAATAAAAAATATGGGTAAAAATATTGAGTGAGCTCAATATTTAAAGACACAAGAAGAATGTTTTGACACATTTATTAGGGAAATGCTATAAAAAGTAAGAGAAAACCTCACATACCTGTAAGAATGAACTATATAATAAAGAATGAAAATAAGAAGTGAAATGCGAGCATGGATGTAGAGAAAAAAGGAACTCTGCTATACTGCTGGTGGGAAGTATGCCGGTGGGAAAAATGGCATGTCTATGGAAAATGGAGTGAAAATTCCTGAGCGGAGGTAAAGGGTGTGGGGGGGAGATACTCTATTATCTAGCAATACCATTCCAATGGATGATTTATCCTTAGATATAAAAGAGATAATTATACTGCACACTCAAAGTTGCATTCTTACAGTACTAAAACTTGGGACCAATCTAAACGTCCATCAAAGAAACTGTGGTATGCATACTTAATGGAATACTACTCTGCTATTAATGGTAAAATCTTTGGGGACAAAATGCATGATACCTAAGGCAATTCTGTTCAGCATGATGTTGGTATTATAACTTTAATGGCACATAATAACATTGTACGGGAAAACATAATTGTGGGGGAGGAGAGAAGTGGTTGAGATCACATCAGTGGTGCTCAAGGCTCACTCCTGGTTTTGTGCCCAGGATCATTCTAGGTGGGGCTCAGGGAAATGTATGTGGTGCCAGGGATCAAACCTGGGTTAACTGCAGGCAAGGCAAGCGCTTGCCCTCTGTACTATCTTTCCAGGCCTGCGTATGGGAAACAGTGTAAATTATAAAAAGATGAAATGAAAAGAACACAAAAAAGCAGTATAAGAGCCATTAAAGAACTCTTGGAAGCTCTAAAATATGTAACCAAAAGCAATTACCATGAAGGTAATGAGGTGACATTAAAGTTTTATTTAAAGTTTATATTGAAAATTATGCAATTTCCCACTTTTGTTCCATTATTTACAGTAACTGCTCAATCATGCACTCTATATATAAAGCTGATCATTTTAATTATATGTATGTAAATATTTGGATTAGCAATTTACAGATGTTGGGACTAGAATGGAGACCAATTGTTATTAAAAATAATTTGGTCTCTGGAGCCAGAGTGATAGAATAGAGGGCAGGGTATCTGCTTTGCCTGTGGCACTCCATATAGTCCCCCAACCACTGCCAGGAGAGATTCCTCAGCAGAGAGCCAGGAATTACCCCTGAGCATCACTGGGTGGGGCCAAAAAACCCAAAATTAATTTGATCTTTCAGAGGATATTTTGCAATGTCTGGAGACACTTTTGGTTCTCACGCTGTGAAGGACAGGGAACACTATCAAAGAGATGGTTGACCCAAAGATATTGCTAAACATCCTACACTGTAGAGGACAGACTCCTATAAAGCTATCAAAGACGTCATGCTTAGATTTTGAGAATATAGATTAAATTTCAGTCTTGTTCTTCACGCCGTATGGTTTTGGGAAAAATAAGCCTCAGTTCACCTCCTCAACTCCAAATCACTAAGAAAAATCTTAGAGAATTCATTTAAGAACCAAATGAGTTCATCTATCTGTGTGAAAACATCTAGCATAATATCTGGCCAAGAACAGGTATTTAAGCATGGACAGGTTTTAAAAGAAATTATTTATTTTAATTAATGTATGAATATTACACAATACTCAGACATTTTAGAAATGGTTTGATGGAAATATTACACAATACTTAGACCTTTATAAATACCCTGATGAAGACAATTGCCTGTTTCTACAGGTTATTCATCAATCAGAAGAAGTAAGCTAGTTTCTCGAAACTTTATCACTGATAACAAACAAATCAATCTTAAAAGAATAAGAAGTGGGCTTGGTATGTTTTACTGAAATGAAATAAATAAAGGTGCTTCGAATTTCTGTGCTCTATGTCTTCTCCAACTTAGCTTCTATACTGCTCACCATGCTGAGTCCAGTGGCTGACCATGGGAGGAAATGTCCTTCCTGCCACAGTATCACATATTGAGTGACTGGTAATAGATTTCCTTTCTGAAGTGCTTTCTACTTTTTTATTCTAGAAAAGTAAAAATTTAAGTTCTATGCAAAGGCCTAGCTTTCCACAGCAGATTATGGTTCACACTGTTCCTCCACTTGTAATGTTGTTTTCCTCTCTCTCCATGCACACTATCATTACACTTCAGGATCTACAGGATTGCTATACTTTGTACCCTGACCAAGATAAACAATTCTTTCCTTCTATGTTCTTAGACCCTCTCATATTCCTTATATTCATCACTTTCTTCTATCCTTAATATATACTGTAGCACTTGTATCACTTGTCATCC